AAAAAAAAAAAAAAAAATCCACAGCGCCAAATTATTTTTCTAAAACAAAAAACACCAAATGTATGAAGGAAAAGGGAGGGGGAAGGGATAGAGAGAAAGAAGTAGTACACTTACACCTCGATTCCGCCGGCGGCGAGATGGCTTAGGTAGGTGTAGAAAGCGCGCTAAATAAAAACGAAAGGAATGCAAGTCCAGCTTTTCAAAAGGAGCACGCCTCAAAAATAAACAAGAATAAGAAAATATTAGACTAAAAATGAAGGTGCATCCTATAAAATTGGAGAGAGGCTTTATTGGCAATACATTGGTCCTAATAAATTTGTCTTTTATACCTAAGAGATCTAAAAATATCATTTTTTTAATTTTAAAATTGTAAAGAAGTATAACGTATAATTATTAATTAGCACTGCTTAAAACGTACCATGAAAGCAATAAGATAAATATTGTTAAAAGTTCGATTACCCTTAATTTCAATATAAACACCAGCAAACATCCATGTCAACTCGGGGTGGCCATTTGCGCAATTCGAATTGAATATAAAAATTTCGATTTGAATTTTTGATTTTCAAATTAAATAAAACTACAATCCAAATTCAAATCAAATAAGTTTGGATAGTATTCACTTTAAAGTTTGATTTTAGATTAATCAACTTGGTAATGTTTGAATTTATAAGTTGGTTGTTTCTTCTTATAAAAATGAACTTGCAGATAAAATATTCATGTCAAATTGCCTTAATAATTCCCCATTCCCGTACTATCATCCAAATAAAGTGTGTGAAAATGGTGTCATTACTCTCTTAGCACAAAATACAAATGATGAAAATGCAAACCCACAAAGAATGTGCAATCCCAACTTCAAATAATTATAAATTCCAGGAGGTTAAGCACTACAAGACCACATATTACGTAGAAGAAAATTGTAACCAAAATAATTACAACATTGAACAAACCAGAAAGTGAACAATGAAATATAGTTGATGTTGGGCATATTTCGATATGTATTGATGTTATTTTATTCATGTTTTAACCGTTTTTTGATGCTATTTGATCTTTAAAATGCCCAACATGATTTAATTATTGGTTTTATGACTAATTGAGTTGTGTGTGATGATTTAGGGTGTTTGGAGTGCAAAAATATGAAGAAAAGGTGCTCTAGCTAGAGGAAGAGGGGTTGGATGCGTCGCATCCAATCTAAAAAAATCAGATTTCGTGCACCCTTAGCAGTAAAGTCGGCCCATAGCATCCGCCTTAGCATCCGCACCTGGGCAAAGCTGAGATGGAGGAACAAAGGGTGGATGCGAGCTGAGAAGTGGAGGACGAGGTGGATGCGACGTATTCACCCCAGCATCAATCCCTGAAGCTGAGTCGGATTAGGAATAGGAGAACTTTGGCCCACGACTTTTGTACGCAATATATAAGCCAAAAACGCCTCTTTTAGGGCATCTAACATATTGGAAAGGGGGAAAAAGCCACGACAAAGCTGGGGAACCACGGAAGTCATCTAGAGTTCTTATTTTTCCTTCGTTTATTGATTATTATGCACTCTTGTGAATTATTTGATGATTGCATGAACATGAGTGACTAAGAACCCTATTATTCTAGGGTCATGGGCGATACATGAATGTTGATGTTTGAAGTTTAATTTGACAAAGTTGATTTTATCATATTGGGTTGTTTATTTAATTCT